TAACAAACGGTACTGGGTGTGTTTTTCTAATATCCCCGCCAAATTGTATTTTCGCCTCGCTTGTACTATGGATGATAACTTCTTTTCTCTCTACTCCTCTTAGTTCAATTTCTGCCATTTGTTTTTCATTTTGCTTAAGTTTTCTTTCCTGTCTTCTTGTAACGCCATTTCAATTTTTTCTTCTAACTGTTCTAATTCCTTTTTCTGGACAGTCTTAATATCCTTCATTTTAGTTTCTATTTCTTCTCTCTGCATCTCTAGTTTTCTCTCTGTTTCTTCGTTAACTTTTTCTAAACAGACTTTTACTTCATTTTCATATTTGTCCAAACGCTTTTTCATTTTCCTATAATTTTCTTCTAATTTCTGGTCATAGTTTTCCAAACGCTGTTCTATATTCCTTTTATTTAGTTCTATTGCTTGTCTTATTTCCCGTTGGTTTTCTTCCATTGTTTGTTTTGTTTCATCCATTTTTAGTGATGTTTCTTTTTGGTTTTTCTCTATTGTTTGTGTCTGTATTTGCATCATTGCTAATAATTTTTCTAACATCCCTGTTTCTTTTCTTTCATCCGTTATTGTAGCATATCCTTCATTATCCGATCCTTCTTCAACAATTGTTTCCTCTTCTCTATTATCCTCCTTCCTTTCTTGCATTTTGCTTTGACTCCTTCTGGTCGACATGTTGTTTCTTTTCGTTACTGTTTTTGTCCCCGCCAAATGTGAAATTTTACAACACTCTATATGTTGCAGAACACGACAAATATTTCTCCCCAAATTTAATAAATTTTCACGACAAATATCAAATATGCAATCAGTAAAATTCAAATAATTCAAAATAAATATCAAATGTACGATTGGTAAAGAAAATAAAAATCAAATAATTCACTAGCCGTAAATATCCACTAACTACGATCAATTAATAAATTAAATTTTCATCCACTGGAAAAATTGTCAAAATACTTTCAAATTCAAATTCCCTCAATGTTATTTTTTTTTCTCTGGATTACCTGTACTTATTCCGGATCTCTTTCCCTTCCATCAAATGTAAAGCTGCGATATTTTCAAGCCCCACGTTTTGGAAGCCAGTTAATGTGATATTAAAAGTCTGAGGTGCGCCAAGCAATTACTTGTCTAATTAATTAATAAATTAAACTTATTTAAATGATGCAATTAGATTCTATCACACTATTTAATTCTCTTGAATATATATTCAATATATTGAAATAAAATTAACACTCAAATATCTTCAATAAAAATATCTCATATAATAATTATCAAAATTTTGTTCTACGTACGTGAACCATCGAAATTGTTGTTCTAAATCTTCTGATCAAAATATTCCTATCTTTTCTAAAGCAATTGTAAAAACAAATGTGTTGTTAATAAAGAAAAACTGATGAATAGTAAAACTATCTCTCTGATGATGAGTTGTCCAAAACCTTGTTCCTTGTAGCCAACACTATCTACTCTTAGCAGTCCCCTAGGTAATCAGCGATATTACAACAAATTGTTGCGAGCCTATCGTCTTTAATAATCTTCTTCAAATGCACGTATCGTTCAAATTATGCTAGCCTCTTCTCCTCTCGATAAACTGAATCTCTCGTTCTTGCCTGAACAGTCTCGTGATGGTTGAGATTGATTTGGACCCGTGCAAAAACATACATACCAAGCGATAAGAAGTAGTCACTTCAATAATTTATTTTTACACCTTTTAGTGAGGGTAAAACATCTACATTACTATATACATTATTAATATATATATATATATATATATATATATATATATATATATATATATATATATATATAGTATATTAATATACAGGTACATTAATATTAAAAAATAATCAAAAACTCTGGGACACGTTGACTTTTAAATTTAAATGTGCGTTTTTTAAACATAAGTTTAAATGTACAGGGTGATCCACGCAAGTCTGGCATAGTCCATAATCCTTATTTTTAATGAAACACCCTGTATATTTTTATGTTTTTAAAATACTTTTAACAACGTGGTTTCAATGAACTATATCATGTAAGGTCTATAATGAATAATACAAGGTGAAATTTTGAAATTAATAATTTATCACGTGTTATGGTATTATTTTAAATTAGCTAAATTTAATACAGACAATAAACTTCTACTCTAAGTGTCAGTACACTGTATATTGGGGAAAATTTCTGTTTAGTGTTAACATTTTTTGTCGTGAATAGGTAAAAACTGTATAGCTAGTCTGCTAATTAAACTAAATCGGTAAATAATGCGGATTGTTATCAATCAGTTGACATGCTGTTGACATTTTACATTAAAATAATAAATTCTTAATTAAAAACTAATTTCTTGCAGAAATAAAAATGAAATATTTAACTAAGGCCCACCGAATTGAGATTTTAATGATGATCGGTTACGGGGAGAATTGTAGAAGTCAAGTTAAAGTAGCAATTATTAACTTTATTTAGTCAGAGGTATCCTCAGTTGCCTAATATTTCACAAGGTACTGTGTCTAAAATTTATGCACAATTCAGAGAACTTGGATATGTCAAACCATTAAAAAGAAAATCGAATTTCATTGAAGATGAAGTGAAAGTGGATATTTTGTTAAGTGTCGCAGAGAATTCAACGTCAAGTTCACAACTGTCCTAAGGTGTCTCCATGAAGAAAACTTCATCCATATAAATTGACATTTGTGCAGGAGCTAACAGAAGACGATCCGGATCGTACAATTGATTTCTGCAAAAGAATGAGGGATAAATTTAACAAATGAAATAGCTCTTGGCACAATTCTTTTTTCTGATGAATCAAAATTTACATTGAACGGAGAGATAAACTGACGAAACTGTAGATATTGGTCAGCGGAGAATCCTCATTGGATGCGTGAGACACACATTCAGTATTCTCAAAAGTTTAATGTTTGGGCAGGTATTATAAGAGATTATATTACTGGTCCCATATTTTTATAGATGATAATTTGACAGCGGAAAAATATTTAAACATGCTAAGAGACGATGTTCTTCCTTAGTTGGCTAACTTATATCCCAATCCAATGGATCCGACCCTACCGCATGAAACTTTCTGGTTCCAGCAGGACGGTGCAACACCCCATTATGCTTTAATGGTGAGAAATTACTTAAATGAAATCTTCTTCAATAAGTGGATTTGATGAAGGGGACTGGTGAGCGGCCAGCTAGGTCGCCAGATCTTACGCCTTTTAATTTTTGTGTGGGCTTATCTAAAAACAAAGTATATGCAACACAATCAACTATCATTGAAGACCTCAAAAAGTAAGGATAACTACAGAAAAACGAAATATTTCACCTCAAACTGTAGTCGGAACACAAAGCTCGGAACGAGTCTTATAGGAGACTCTGTTATTGTCAACAACAAGGTGGAGAACATGTTGAGCATTTATTTTAATGTAATCGAATCAATTACCGCGGGTATTCTATGAATTCATTGTCTTGAAGAAAATACCTAATTTCAAAATGTCACATTGTATTATTGATAATAGACCCTACATGATATAGTTAGTTGAAATCAGGTTGTTAAGGAGCTTTTAAAAACATAAAAATATACAGGGTGTTTCGTTTAAAATACAGATTATGCACTATGCCAGACTTGCATTGATCACCCTGTACATTCAAATTTATGCCTAAAAAGCGTACATTTAAATTTAAAAGTTAAGGTATCTCAACGTTTTTTATTATTTTCTAAAATAAGTAAATAAGGAGCTATATGTGATTTCAGATGTTTTCCGGGTTTGACTCCGCGTTAAGTATTTTTGGTTTTTAGAAAAACCATTGTTTTGACGACATTTCGGCAAGATGTTAAAAAAACACTCTTTTGACTTTTTGTCGAGCTTTCGGAATGGTTTTATTCCTTTTTCAAGACGGTGTAATTGATGTTATCTTTCTTTTCAAGAAATACTAGAACTATGTAGAATACTAGTATAATATGTTGCATACCATTAAGACAGGTTTCAAAAGTATAGTCACCTAAGAAGGGCCTCTAGTATTTCTTGAAAAGAAAGATAACATCAATTACACCTAATTACATGTTAATTACAGTGTTTTTACTTTCCATTCTCTGTATGAGTTAAAACACACCAGTAAAACATGCCATCAACTAAGTTTTACTATTTTTACAATAAATTTTAAAAATTTTATAATGTATTTTGTCCATAATTGTATAATTTAATGTGTGTTATAAATGTTGAGTGTCAATGCTTGTATAAATAATCTCAACGACTAATAAGTTACACTGAAGAATTGTGATATTTTTTAAATATTTACATATATGTCTTATAACAGTGTCTTGAAAAAGAAATAAAACCATTCCGAAAGCTCGACAAAAAGTCAAAAGAGTGTTTTTTGAACATCCCGGCTAATATTCTGACCCTAATAAACTTTCGAATTTTATTTAATTCTTTTTCAAGACATCTATAACAAAGAAATATAAAAATTAACTAATTAAAATTGTTAGTGTCTTACTTACTAGTCGTGAGATTACAGTTAATATTGTACTTTATAAACCAAACCATTATATAAATATATTAAAATTTTTTATTAAAAATAACTATATTGTCATTATATATGTCATTGTCATCTTGGTTTGATTACTTTACGTGGAAAGCAAAACCAGTAACACTAGTTTTTATTATTATTTAATTGTCTATAAAAAATATAAAAAAATATAAATTAATCCAGTCAGTTTGGCTTAAGTACATATGAATTTTTTAATGTTAGGATGTCGATAGAAAATGAGATAATTATTATTATTATCTATTATTATTAAAAATTATTATTATTATATATATATATATATATATATATATATATATGCAATTTTTCATCATCCCCTCTAAACCAGAAATATGTAATAATAATTATACATTTTCATAATTTTCTAATTTCCCACAATTACTTTTATAAGGAAATATCGAAGATAAGGAAATTCGCTTTCTTTTAGAAAACAATAGCTTTTGTAACATTCATGTAATATTTTTTAGGTGTCACATTTTTCCAAACAACCAAAGATTTGTGTAGCGAATGAAAGGCACTTGGTAATTCTCGGAATGGACTCGGACACATCTGAATTTGTTCCCATAAAAAGGCTGGATACCGCAGAACCAACAGGATGTGCCTTATTCACAGAAACTAGTTTAATAGTGGGAGCTGATAAGTTTTTCGAAATTGATCTGGGGACTTATCAAGCCGAGGAATTCCTAGATGCTTCGGATGCTAAACTGAAACAAGCTCAAAGGTAATGCGATTTGGTTTTTGTTTGCTTAGTAGATCTAGATTATTGGTTAAAATACTAAAAAGACCGGGAGAGGTTTCCTAGCTAACTCTAAAATATCTTTGAATTTGTAAATTAAATCAAAAACTTTTGTATATAAAAGATAAGTAATTTGGCATTTATTTTCTTGAATTTAAAATTTAAAAGTTCGATTGTCAAGATAATAATTCTTCGTAGTTTTTGTTACCAAATAAACTGGGTAAATAAGTGTCTTATTATTTTAAACCTAGATAATTATATGAATGAAACTAAAAGTAAACATCGATTGAGATCGTTCCAGGCATCTTATTGTAGACCACTCTTCCATTGCACCATTTACTTCTTGTCTGTTGTAACCAGATTACAACAGCAAAGTTACTAAGATGTAAATTGGAGCTGGAAAGTCAGATAATACAACAAGTAATGGAGTTTAAATATCTAGGCATCATATTATCTAGCTACGGAAAACTCGAAACCGAAGTGGAAGATCAACTTAATAGAGCAAACAGAGCTGCGGGTTGCCTAAATGAAACAATATGGAGAAATAAAAATATCGGGAAAGAAACTAAAGGCAGAATTTACAAAACAGTCATCAGACCAATAATGACATACGCGGCAGAAATAAGACGTGACACAGAGAGGACAAAAAGGATATTAGAAACAGCAGAGATGAAAACACTTAGAAAAATTGATTGTAAGACACTATGGGACAGAGCTAGAAGTACAGATATACGACATAGATGCAAGGTAGAGCACACCAAAACCTGAGAAAGAAATAGAAGAGTAGAATGGATTGATCATATAAGCCGAATGACAACAAATAGAGTAGTAAAAATGGCAAGAGACGGTTCCCAATAGGAAGACGATCAGTAGGAAGATCACGAAAACGATGGAATGACAACTTACTGGAGGCACATTGAAAAACAGACAGTCATGTCTAGATAAAAAGAAGAAGAAGAAGAAGAAGACTTCTTGTCCACACGTTCTTCTTGGTCATCCTTTTTTCCGGAGGTTGGTGGAGATCCACCTCTATAACATTTTGTTTGGCCATAATTGATCATTCATCCTTTGGACATACCCTTTCAGTATTTTGCATTCTATAGTCATCTACGCCAGTAATTCATTTCTATTGGTTTTATTTTGGATGCGTCTTTTTTATTAAATTACTTAACGCTCTAAACCATAGGTAGCAATACTTGCTATGATAATTTTGTATATCCTAATTTTTGTGTTTGAAGTAATGTGGTTATTTTTGACGTACTGCTGAATTACCTTGACCAATTCTAGTAGCTATTTCTTTGTATTCCGACCATTGTTTGTACTGTTTGGAGATATTTAGCTATCAGTATTTTCGATTTGTGTGTCTCTTAGTTATAAGTGCCTTTCTTCAGCTCCCACTACTACATACTCCGTTTTTAATTAATTAATTGATAAACTCCACTTAGCTTTATGTAAGCTGTACAGTTTATAATCTTCAATTTTAACACTCTTAGGTTATTTTTTTCCAAATATTCAAAACCCTGTCCAAATTAATCTTTATGAGCGTAGGTGCAATGCAGGAGCCTAAGCAAAGTCCTTTGGTCACCTTTATCTTTTTTGTCACTTTTGTCGAAACTTTATTGAACTCGTTATATCGTCATACAACTTCATCACAACATTAATGTAAATCAGTGGAATTTTCTGGTCTTATATATGCCTGCCTGATATAAGCCAGGGGCTGAAATAGTTTGCCAGGGCATATTTTCATCAGTTCTGGTACTGCCCTCGGTTCTGGAACCTTCCCATTTTTCATAACGGTGGCGTATTTTTTAATTTGCTCTGGTGTTATTTCAGTTTCCTCGCGGTAGGAAATATCATATTTTTCGTTCCCAATGTCTTGGAATTATGCTGGATCTTATGTTAGCTAGACCGACCACTTTATTTACTTTTCTTTCGGTCCTAATATTTAAGTCACTCAGCACAATTACTTCCTTTTTAGTTCTGTAGCGACAAGCTAATTAGGAATAATTAAACTTTTGTATTCAAAAATTAAATAAAACGATCTCATTAAAATTTACATTTTCGCAAATGGTTTATAGACATAAGAAATAGAAATGTGTTTTTCAATATGTTTATTTACTACAGTTATTAGATATGCTCGACACTTTAATTATAAATTTTGAGTGCGTTGCATTTATGGGAAACGAAGTATAATATATCGACCAGCCTGATAATAAAAGTTTATCGTCTGGTTTTTAAAAACAAAGAACGCTTGTTCTGTGTTGAGTTTTAGTTTTTAGTAATCATTGAGATACCAACCACGGAACAGTTCCAATACTCTCTACCAAGCCGGTCAGTTCGTCGTAAAATTTATCCTTTACCTCGTTTCATCTTCGGAAGCTGCATATGTGCCCATTACCACTAAGTCACGTCCTTTTAGCTTCATCCCAACTTTTACTACTGGTCTTTTATTTTTTATTTTGTTTCCAGTTCTTACTATAAAAGTAAATTAAATTATATAATGAAACCTTACAAATTGATAAGAGATCAATTATTAACATCTTATTTTAAAGCACTAAACAATGGACTTGTGTACAGTTGCACAGTTTTCTTTTTTTTTATAATTATTTACGGTATCAACTTCATCGGAAAAAATAGTTAAAATAATGATACAATATCTAGCCTTACAACTATTAACATAAATTCCTAATATTTCAATATCGTTTCAATATCAGTCACAAAGCGTTTTGTGGCGGCCGTAGCTCAGTGACACTCAGTGACACTCAAAAGATAAATAAAGCCTTGACTTTACGTGTCTTTTCTTTTGGCTCGTGTGTTTTTTTTTGGCTTCTGTTGTTTTTAATATATTTGCCCAAGTTGTTTGTTCTAAAAGCTGGTGTTATTCCTTTCTTTTTATGTGTTTGACTATTTTTGTTGATATCTTGTCTGTATTTGTAATTGAGTAGAAGGTACTGTGTTTTTTCTCTAGTGGTGGAAAACTAATTTCAGGGCTTTCTTTGTAGTTTATGATTTTAAAATATTATGTATTGTTTGTTCCCATTGTACCCATTGTCTACTGTTATTTGCTTAATAATGTTTAATTATATCTCAAAGTTGTTTTTTGGCATCGGAATTTCTATTAATCGATCTAACATGCTATGATAGGCTGCCAATTTATGTTGTGTAGGATGGGATGATTAATTGTGTATAGTCGTGTCAGTATGGGTAGGTTTATGAAATAAATGAAATAAAATCGAAAGAAAGTGAAATAAAATAATTATTTATAGAAAAATAACAAACACGTTTATAAATTTACACGTTGCTATAATATTCAGAATAAGTTACTTTGAAGTTAATTTTGAATGCACTCATATGCCACTATACAGACTATATCACTTTGTATCCACATCCAAATATTAAAAATAGAAATACATATTCGTTTAGTGATAAGTTTTACTATGGTTAGATACTCACCGATACGGAGAAATGGTTAAAAATAGTTCAGGGGACAGTTTAATTGAGTTCTGTCAACTTTTTGGTTTAAAAATAATGAACACCCAATTCCCACATAAAGATATTCATAAATACACTTGGGAACGACCTTCACTCCAACAGAAGTCGATCATAGACTATATAATAATGAGACAGAACTCAAAATTTAAGTGCCAAGACTGCAGAGTAAAAAGATGGTCTAACTGTGGGACAGACCATTACTTTCTTTTAACTAATATTTTGTGCCCCTTTAAACAAAACAACAAACATAACACCGAAAGTCAGAGAAACAATACTACCACAGTTTAACCACAAACAGTTAGGACACTCTTAGTCGGCGCCTTTGAAGTATAAAAGTATCCAGACGCCATATTGAAAACAGACTAGATCAGTTACGGACTGGCACAAGTGGTTAGAACAAAGACGTGTTTATATTATTTCAAAGATAGTAAACAAGTTAATTTGAATTAATTACAATCGACAATATATTAATTTAATTTAATTATTATTATCAAAATATTTTATTTATTTTATATAAAAATAAATCTTTTCTATCATAGCCAAATAAGAAACTGAAAAACTTATATTCCAAAACAACAAATTATTTCGGGAGGCAATTTTGTGTGTAAACTAATTTAAATAGACTTACTGTTAACTTTACAACAATAATTTAACAAAAGTAAACTTACAAAAAACTTTAACAAGTAAAAATGATATCGGAAAAAATAAGAGGGAGTGAATACGTCTTCATTCACTCCCTCTTATTTTTTCCGATATCTTAATTTCTAAAACAATCTTGAAAAAAGTTTAGGGTGATACTACGTTCCTTACAATTTGCTCTCTTACAGTCATCACATGATTTCATGTCTTTATGTTTCGGACAAAAATGACGTCTTGTTTGCTTAGCAGGTTGTCGATTTGAAAGTTCCTCAGTTGGGTTTCTTGAACTCTTGTCTTGATCTGTTCCAAGAATTTTTACGATTGTGGTTTTTAAATCATTATTAGAGAGCTGTTTCATATCTTTTCTTCTTTTCAGATGTTCATTCAAAAGACTTTAACCGAGTAATATCGTGAAATGTTTTTGAGACAAAGAACATTGTCTATTTGCGCTTTTATAAAGAACATATGCATTTTTTCTTGTTATATGTTAAATTACATAAAATACAGCCAGGGGCTATCTTTTTTATTATAAGTTTTTTACCTGCCTTTTTAAATTGCATTTACTACAGTTTCTAGTAGACTGGTTGTGAATTTAAGATTTTTTTAGTAGCAATGGTACTTGTTTCTTTTTAAAGTATTTCATACAGTTCTAGCAGTAATACCAGTTTCTTTTGAAATTAGAACGTGCTGTTACAAGGAAAATTAATTTCAGTTAGACTACTTACGGCAGTTTTAGGCTGTTCCTGTTCTTCATTAATTGCACGAGCTGGTTAATTTTCAAATTTAAAAATAATGTTGTGAATTGCAGATTTTGATGGTACAGGGCTTTCGAATGAAAACGAAAACGTAGCGGTTACATCGTTGGCCCTACTTCCAGAATAATATCATTTAATAATTTGAATTTTATGTTCAGTTGTAAAGGTTACCATTTTCCTCACTGGAAATATCAATTACTTTATTTTTTGGCGAATAAAACCAGAATTAGTATTTATTTATTTATTAGCGGGATGTTTCCATTTCTTACAAAACAATTAACAACATAAAATATCCTAACCATAACATAAATACTAAAACTAAATATTAAATAATTATTAAATATTGTTAAACAATTATTAAATTACATAAATTAAATTTTTATAAAAATAATTTTAAAATGAAATTAATATCCCCAAGTTTTTTTAGACTTAATTAAACGAAAAATAAAACTCGACGATAAAGATATAAACAAACAAATCACGACAGATGACTCGACTACACGTCACATTAATACCAGTCGGGTGTCACTAGCGTTCGGTCTGTTTTCAATATGGCGATATGGCCTGCGCTAAATGATGCGCGTACTTTTTCCCGCCTGTCGAGTGTCCATACTATTTCTTTTTTATACTATGATACTACGCAGTACAAAACGGAGAGATATAAATTGCATCTTTTATTCCAACCAAGTATTAAACATCTTTTTCAATGTAGATTAGAAAGGGAACTAAATGAGATGGAAAGAAATATGGATGTAGAACAAGAATACAATAACCTCAAAATGATAATAAAAAAATTGCTTATGAAGTATTAGGAACAGAGAACAACGACAAAAAACACCACGAACCACCATGGATGACAGAAAACGTAAAAGAAATGATACAAGAAAAGAACAAATTATATAAAAAATGGCTAACAAATAAAACATCTAGCAATAGAGTATCATATCAAATGAAAAACGGAGAAGTACGCCAGCAAATAAAAGAAGCAAAAAACAATTTCTGGGAACAAAAATGTGTCCAAGTTGAAAATTTAATGGATGGTTCTCAGACAACGGAAGCATGGAGAACTATCACTAATCTAAAGAAGAACACCCATAACTCATTAAGCAACTTAATTTCTATAGAAAAATGAAAAAATCACTATAAAAATTTACTCCAAGAGTCCAGATTGGAATATATGGGAGAAGAATACAGTATGGAGAGACAAACAAATAGTAACATTAATACTACCAGCAACGAGGTCCGTACTGCGCTAATTAAAATGAAAAACGGGCGATCTTCAGGACCTGGCAATATAGCTGTAGAGTTACTTAAAGCAGGAGGTCCACTCCTAATCGAACGAATAACTTTTCTAATGAATCAATGCTGCCAACAAATTAAAATACCATCTGAATGGAAAACCGCTCACCAAGTGTCCATCTTTAAAAAGGGTAATCGAAAAGATCCTAACTGCTACAGAGGATTGAGTGTCCTACCTACTTTCGGCAGATTGTTTGGAAAGATAATAAATAGAAAAATACAAGATGATGTAGGACATCTAATTGCGAAGACCAAAGCGGATTTACGCCTGGTAGATCTTGCACTGATAACTTGTTTATACTCCAACAATTAATAGAAAAAAGAATAGCGGTTGGTAACGAAGTACATCTAGCCTTCATCGATCTAGAAAAAGCGTATGATACAGTACCAAGGCCTAAATTGTGGCAAGCTTTACAACTCGGCATTAGTCCACACCTTTTAGGAATAATCACAGAAGTATACAGGGATAACACCTGGTGAAAACTTAAATCAACGTGGCAACATGGTATTCCAGCCAACCATACGCAGTCAACTTTAACAAGTCGCTCTCTTAGCTAGCGACCATCAAACAAGCCACTTCGAAATTATACAGTCCATTTTGTTTTATTTTATTTAATGTTTCAAATGTTAATTTAATTGTAGTTCAGTTAAATAAAAAGTGTGTAATGTATGCAATTCATTTCTACAACACCACTTACCTAAAAATCGGAAATAGACTATCAGAGCCGATAAAAGTAACTAAAGGACTGAGACAAAGGTGCAGTATGTCACCTTTACTGTTTAATTTATATATTGAGGCAGCCCTTCAAAATTTGAAAAACCACTGCCAGGGAATGGGAATCCCAATAGGAAATGACGTACTGTTCTCACTGAACTTTGCGGATGACCAAGTCGTTCTAGCTCAAGATTCTTATGATCTAGAATATATGATAAAGCGTCTATACAGAGAATATGTAAAATGGGGGTTAAAAGTCAGCATGAAGAAAACGGAATATCTAGTTATCAATTCAGATGCAAGGTTTGAAGTGTTGATAGACGAGGACGTGGAAATCACACAAGTGGAAAAATTTAAATATTTAGGTGCATTCATTGATAAGAACGGCTTGAGTGAAACCGAAATTAAACACCGAATTAATCAGGGACGTAAAATTGTAGGATGTTTGAACTCCTTATGGTGGGATCGCAACATTTCCAAAAGGAACAAAAAAAGAATAGGGCAAACGATGGTTGAATCAGTTCTTTGTTATGGCTCTGAAGTATGGACAATTAATGCAGAGCTGAAAAGAAGATTGTTGGCAGTTGAAATGGATTATTTGAGAAGAAGTGCTAGAACATCAAAGCTGGAAAGGAAAACCAACGAATCTATAAGAAATCAGATGAATGTTACAGATACGGTCATAGACAGAATAGAAAGAAGAGGTTTAAAATGGTTTGGACACCTGTTAAGAATGCCTGACGAACGTTGGCCCCAAAAACTTCACAGTTGGAAGCCCCCTGGTAGAAGAAAAAGAGGTAGACCTCGACGCTCATGGAATGAAGGTATTAGAAGAGCAATGGAATCGAGAGGTTTGGAGGAGGAGCATGCCTTGGACCGAGAGGATTGGCGGAGGAGGACGGGAATACGGCGATAGCCGTCTCCAAGATGTATTCTATTTACAAATTGGATCCTGTAATATATATATATATATATATATATATATATATATATATATATATATATATATATAAGTTTTACTAAAATTTTATGGTTGTTTATTTTGAGGCACTATATGAACTTTCATTTATTTCAGAAACCTTTGTGGTTTAAAACAAATCGGTGGCTAGCTATTTATAATATATATATATATATATATATATATATATATATAAAGTTATTTATATAGTAGTTAAGGCTATTTATATGGTAAATGCCGGATGAATGGACCTAGGACAGAAAGAGTGTCTGCGTTACGTTCGGATTTTTTCCAGTCACTCCTCACCGCCAAGGTGAACATTAAAAGTTTCGCTTCAATATAATATATTTATTATTTAGAATGAATAGTGTTCCAATTGAAATCATACAATACTGTAATTTATTCATTCTATAGGAGAGTTGTGGTTATATTGTTAAAGTTGTGGTTTTGTTACCAAAACTGAAGAAATTAAAAAATATTAATTAGATTTTCAATATCTAATCAATTTAACTTAAATTTAATTTTAATAACTTTCATTTATTTCAGTTGTTACAAGATGGGCTCCTTCCCTCTGGCTATCATTCAAGTTTGCAAAAATCCCAAAGAGTATCTACTGTGTTTCAATGAATTTTCAGTATTCGTCGACGAATATGGCAGATCCACTAGACAAAATGAACTGAAATCGGCACATTTACATTTAGCATTTCATTTCAGCAAATCGTATTTATATGTATGTCACTTTTCAGCTGTAGGAATCTTGAAAATATCAGAAGAAACTTGCAACAATGATGAAAAACCAGACATTTTTCGAGTGGAATTGGATAAATTTAAGTATTTAGGGTCAAATAAACAGGGTATATTCATAGGTGTAAACAATGAAGTTCGGTTTATAAATGGTAGTAAATTTATTCCCTTAGACGACAGTTCTTTGGAAATTGACAATTCTGATAACAACTCTGAGGATAGATTTACTTTTAGTAGTTCGATTGTACAAAGTTTGGATGGGAATTTGAGTGATAACGAGAGTGTGGAAGATAAGCTCAAGAGGGTTAGATTTTCAGAAACTGATTTGTAACGGTATTCCAATACTGACTCTGACAATTCTTTCAACGCTAGCTTAATTATATTTATTAGATTCTTTTATCTATTTCAAAACTCGATATTGTAATATTCGATACGAATATTACAATTTATTTTATATGTACAATTCGTACAATTCTATGTACGATTTGGGTTTTCTTTTAGTGTCTCTTCTTTTTATATTACTGTTCATAAATATTCGTGTCCAGTCAATTTTAATAATTATAAAGAAAAAAGTTAAGGACTTTTCATTGTTGAAGTTCATTGTTTGTCCATCTGATATATCATTTTTATTGGTCTTGGTATTTGTTGTGGTTACCACATAATGCACTAAACAATATTTATACTGCCTTTCAATCTTTATGGTCATCTCAAAGTAAGGTCTTATTCACATGGATAATAATATCGATCTTATCGTACCTTGCCGTAACTTTGTAGATATATGTATAGGAATATATTTATTTCAGATAAAGCAATAGGAATGTTGATTATTTCTTAAAAAAACATTTAAAGCCGTAATATTACTATAGCCCCAAAATATTGACTATTATTTTTCAATAATACTTTGTTCCTTTTAAAATATCGCTCCAAAATGCCATTACTTTCACGGGAACGCTGACGTCACATGTTAAAAATTAATAAAAATAAAATTTATTTAAAGTAAGGAAAACTAAAAATGCTATTTGTCTTCTAATATGGTCAACATGCCTATTACATTTTTTTCAGATAATTGTTGTTATCAATAATCCATGCAACAATTATTTAACTTCAAATATAGTTATTTTTGATACTTATTATTGTTCAATAAATTATACTATTAAGACTGTTACTCTAAGAATATATATATTAATAGAATACTTTTATTGGTCATATACTTACAAAATACCTACTAAAAGTGACATTTTTGTAAGTAATAATGGACATACGTAAATTCATTTTCACATTTTAACGGTATTTTAGAAAATAATTGTTTTATATTTCGTGTATGTACTTAATTTTTTAAGATTTCTGTATTTATCTTGCCTTATTCTTAGTTTTTGTACTGATTTTGTCATTTTTTAATATTGTAGATTGATGTATTTTAAAATATATAAATGAATAGATTTTCACATTAAATTTTGTATTTTTATTCCATCACAAATATACGAATAGATGTTGGCTGATAGATATTGGACATTTTCTGGTCAATTCGATGCATCACATTTAATTTTACGTTGACATTATTACGTAGTTTTGCTAGGTTATCAAGATCTCGGAGAATTGCATAGGCATATAATATAAATAGTTTGACATGTGCAATACAGACCTTTTTCCCCATTGCGACAGAGAAACTGACGCAAAGCTATCCGCGCATCTCTTTCTAATGGACCGGATTTATCGACCATATGACCTTCCCATTGGTCATTTAGCTCACGCAGTCAATAAACCCGGTCCATTAGAAAGAGATGCAATTATTGATTTGCGTCAGTTTTCTGTGGCACTGGAGGAACGGGCTGATATTGTAACAGTCAGTCTTTTTGTATTATTATGTCTATGAATAATTGTAACATGATAAAAATACATATATGGTTATTATTGAGTATTTCAAATTCATCAGTAAGAACATGTTGAAACCTGCAAGGAGAAAAAAATAATGCTTTGTAATGAAGAATTTGTGTTTAGTGCTAAAATTAACTACAAAACAAATTGCTGTAGGGATATACAGTACCAACGAGGTCATGAACATTATAATAAATTATAATAAAACCGAGGGAAATGTAAAACACATTGTATTTTTTTAAATAAACTTTCGCAGGAGTTACGTATCAGTAGCCCTATATTAATAAAGAAACAAGTTCCAAAGAAACAACGACCATTGAGTTACAATAAATAATTGCTTGTTCCACAGAGTTCTAATAAATAATTTAGAGGTCGAACTACCTATGGTATTAATAAGACAGAATTGAAGCCGCCGCTATTATTTTTCGGACGGTTAAATAAGGGGAAAGAATTTGAAAATTAGCTTTTCTGAATATAAGAAAATTTTGAAAGATTTCGCTTATGTTTTGTTTGCGATATTTTCTATGGAATAATGAAGTTTGGTACTTGTGTTATCAATTGACGGTGTAAGCAAGCAAAACGATTGTTTTAGGCCAAAACAATTACAAAAAAGGTACCTATCCCGTGAGTGTAATATTACACTTAGGTGTAGATGGGTTGAAATAGACATTTTGATTTAATTAATTACTGCGTATACCGGGTGGTGAATCGTCAAACTGGCCATAGGAAACTAAATGGGAAATTTTAAATTGTTGAATTGCTGCTTCCCTAATTATTTTAGATCAAAAGTCATAAAAACTATTTGTAGAGGACTGAATTCTAAATTAAAAACAAATGTTAAAACCGTTCTACGAATCAAATGTACTTCAAAATTTTGCAAAAATGTAATAGATTTTTCAGACCACCCCTAATAGTTAGGCCACACGTAATACAAGAATATATTAAAATCAAGAATACAAGAATATATTAAAAAGTGTGTGTTCTATCCATTTATCATATCGATGTCAGATGTTTGACAATTTGAATTGTCAATTTTTTTTTATTTTATGATTAAATTATAAACAATGAATTTTACTAAATACTACTACTACTGAACAATATTACTTTGTGAAAAATAAATTATATTGTTCACAAATCGATAAATATAATGAAATGTACTCAGTTGACGAAAAATCGCATAATGTTGTATTCAGGCAATAGCGCGAACCTTTTCCTGTCACTACCGGATCTTTATTTAACGTAAGATATTCTAATACACTAAAATTTAATTCCATGTTAAGTTGAGTTATACAACAATTCAATGAATTCCAATATACTGTTACTGTGATCTTTATTCTTAATAATAATATATGATAATTTCTAAACATAAAACTATAACAAATGTTATAATAAAACATGAATAAAACATTTTTATTATTGCTCTTTTCTCCTTAACTGAGTACATTTTTTAATCAACTTAATTTTTCTTTTACATAATAAATCACAAAATTTTGGCCATTTAAATCATAGATAAATATAATACTACTACTACTGAACAATATTACTTTGTGAAAAATAAATTATATTGTTCACAAATCGATAAATATAATGAAATGTACTCAGTTGACGAAAAATCGCATAATGTTGTATTCAGGCAATAGCGCGAACCTTTTCCTGTCACTACCGGATCTTTATTTAACGTAAGATATTCTAATACACTAAAATTTAATTCCATGTTAAGTTGAGTTATACAACAATTCAATGAATTCCAATATACTGTTACTGTGATCTTTATTCTTAATAATAATATATGATAATTTCTAAACATAAAACTATAACAAATGTTATAATAAAACATGAATAAAACATTTTTATTATTGCTCTTTTCTCCTTAACTGAGTACATTTTTTAATCAACTTAATTTTTCTTTTACATAATAAATCACAAAATTTTGGCCATTTAAATCATAGATAAATATAATATAGTTGATTTGTTGATTTAAATATTGTCAAATATTAGAACCGTCATTATGACAAAACGCAACACGTAAACACATTCTTTTCACGGCGTCTGGCCTGACTTTTAGGGGTGGCCTGAAAAATATATTATATTTTAGCAAAATTTTGAAATACGTTTAAGTCGTAGAACAATTTTAACAATTGTTTTTGATACATATTTGAGTCCTCTACAAATAGTTTCCTATGACTTTTGGTGTAAAATAATTAGGGAAGCAGGAATTCAACAATTTAGAATTTATCATTGAGTTTCCTATGGCCCGTTTGACGATTCACCACCCTGTATACTTATGTGCATATGTGATTCCATTAACAAGCAATGACTAGTACATCTATTCTTTCATTTTTAATATAGCCTAGGATTACACTGCAGGATCACAACGTTCATAACGTAGTTAATCAAACTCATATTTTTACACACATTTAAAATTAGTAGAACGCATTGATAATAGACTGCCTGTCAAAAAGTGGCCGCAAATATTTTTACTTTAATTAATTTTTGACAAAAATTTTATTTCCTTCATTTATTTTTTTAATAAATTGCGCTGCTCATGATGTATGTATATGCATCTTTTTATATCATATGATATGTTTTCCTGAGGAAAAATGATCAAAATTAGGGTTGTCAGCTGTTAAGAACGCGAGATAACGAAGATAAAATGAGTTTTTGTGCTTTTTAAAAAAGTGTTTTCCAAAAGAAGATTGGCGCAGAGTCAGTAAGGAAATGGAAGAGTCTTTAAAGATCCTCATCACTTTTGACGTCCGCCTGCAGAGAGTTCGTCCGAGGGAATTAGAAGTATTCAAGATCGAAGGATTCAAGGAATGCACATCAGCATCATCTGTATCTTGTAAGCGAATTTTGTTACTTAGAATTAAGAAGGTATATATTTATTGAAAAATATTTTATGTCAGACTTCTCTGAGTCCTTAGCTGACTTAGAGTAAGCTTAGAAGCTAATTTAAACAAAAAATTAAATAACTGCAATTTATTAAAGATTAAAATATTTGTAATAATAATATCCAACCTGTAATAATTAACATTGGACATCAGTTCAGATTCTGAAGGTGATGAAAATAAAATAATGAGAAACTATAAAAATACGTTCAAAATCATACAATATTTGAGCTAAATAATATTTCATGCTTAAAATAATTTTACTGTTACCTCATACATCAACAACCTGTAAATATTATTGTACATTTAATTATATTTTTTTATAAAACTAACATTTTACATTCTATTTTTTAACGTCAAATTTTATAATATAATTACCATTCAAAAAATAATCTCAAGCAAGTAAAAAATAAAGTGAATAGTTCTTTAACAAATCAAATGCATGAAAGATTGAATGTGCACCACACCTATAAACTCTCGACAGGTTGGTTCATAAGGCTGTAATACTCTAACAATAAGGAAATATAAATATATGCCCTGACCGCAACCAATAGAACTAATAAATCAAAAGAGAGTACGTAATTATACAATTACTAGAATGACAATCTCTAGATTAGTAACAACATAAAAACTAAAATATGTTTGCTAAGCACATTAATGAACAACAAAATATACATTATCTACTAAAAAATTTAGAGGAAATTGACAAAGCCGTTTAGTGTTTAACTGATATAATTTAAGAAGCAGCTTAGAAATCTATGCTATAACTCCAGCTTCACACATGGGGACCAACGTTGGCGTTCGCGCCAACGTGTTTAAGACTTGCTCCAACGTTGGAACTTTTCCGTGGGCTGTCGGCTTTTGCGTACATCAAAGGTTGGCACCAATATTGCTGTTGCCGTTGACGCCGACCACACATTGGCGTTACAGCAGTGTTCCAATCGGCGTATCCATAATTGTACGATTTGTGAATAATTTAGTTGTTGGGTCTAAAGAGTCCTCGTCTTTCACATAATTCATTTTAGAAAATAAGAATTACTTTATCAAAGAAAATTTCCATTCCATAACGGCATTAAAAAACAAATATACAATATGTAAAAATCTATCTTCGGCCACCTGAGCCACCTCCGTTGAGTTGTTTAGGGTTAACACTCCGATATACGACGATGGTCTATCAGAACGGGGTTTATGCTCAAAAGGTATTTCTTACATAAATAAACAATATACATATCTGTTTTTTTTTTCAGTAAAAATAAATGCTTTTAATTTTGAAATATAGATAATTTTGTCCTAATAGACCACCGTCATGTGGTCATGTAACTTTTAAAATATTTACTTCCATATATCTGCTGTGGATTAAAGTCACGTTTGATGCAGCATATACCCAAAATAGAAGACTAAGAAATTTGGGAATAGAGAAAAGAATAAATTCAGAGCTTCGACATCATGTTTACACTCATATATTCAGTCTGCAGTTGCCAAATACAGATCTAATACCTCTAAGTAAAGCTGTAGACAAAATGACGTAAAATTATTGTGTAATTTTGTGCTGGTATATTTTCTGCACCACTTTTTAATTTTGTTTATATTTTAGATTTCTTAATTTTATCAAATATACTTTTGCTCATCCCTAATAAAAAATCATATTATGCACTCATTATCACGACAGTCGCAACCACTGCAAC